GCGGGGCACCCCCCCCCCCCCCCTCGGCGGCGGCAAACCCAGCCTCTACGTAAGGGCTCGAAGATGCCTTTTGCCTTCTGGTCAATAGAGAATTAAGCAATTAGTCAAAATATGGAAGTGGTTTGCTTAAGAGTCCCCATAGGTTTGACCAAAGCTCTACCCCCCAACCCCACAAAGGCTCTTTGCATCCGTCCTGAAGGAGGTTCAGGCTGGCTCGCGGCTAGGGGAGCTGGGACGCGCTCCAGCCCGCGCTCGCCGCGCCGCTCCGCGCCCCCCGGGGACCGAAAGCGCACCAAGCACGTGCTGCCTTGGGCTGCACGTTTTGAGTGTTTTGCAAAGGCATTTGCAAATTCTGGGTTTAATGGATCGGTATAAGCCAGGACATAACGTTTCTGAGAAATCGAACACTGTGACTTGCCACAGAGGAGAAAAGAGAAGGGGCAGGGATCTCCCGTGATTCACCACTTCTGTATCGATACAGCTACCTGTTCATCCCAGGACTGCTGGATTCCTACTCAACCACTGCCTCTAGCATCGCTGCCCTATCTTAAACAACTGCTATATGCGCTGTTCCTTGTAACTACTTTGCAAGCTTCAAAGCAAGACCCCAGCCTTTTCCAAAGGCAGAAGCATTTCTGCCCCATCGTCTTTATGTCAAAGTCACGGTGTTTTGCCCCTTGCCTTCACCCACCGGAGCATGGTGAGCCATGGTGAGGCACAGCAGCCGCCTTTGGAAATTCCCATTTGCAAAGCTGTCTGCTTTATGACAATGTCTGTGAGTTACAACAGTAGTGGAGTATCTCCTTTTACTTCAAGTCTTGGGGCAGACTTCTTTTACCTGTTTATCTAAAACTGTTTTGGAAGTGAGAGTTGAGTTTCTACCCTTAGGTTAAGATGTGCTTCCCTTGCTAATGTTCTACAGATCAAGTGCTGATATTATTCCCTAGATTTAGCTGTGTTACCCATCCCTGTACAAATTCTGTTTGTACAAGCAGCAGCTACATCAGACAAAGCCTGAATCAGTCAGAAACGATTCAGGAAAAGCAAGTGTTTCACACTAGACCACAAAGGAAGAGAGAAAGGAAAAAGCTCCTCAAGCATCAAGAGCTTTCTAGCCATATGTGTGTAAAAATTTCTTCGCCTGCCACGTGACAGGGGAAGAGGCTCAGACCCATTACACAATAATAAAAATATGCCTTTGGCAAAGTTGAGCCAAAACCTGGAGTTGCTGCAGGAAGCTAGGAACACACACAGAAAGGAGTAAAACAAATAAAAGAGATAGAAGTCAAAATTGCATGCCCCCCTGAGAAGAAAGCTGTTGCAGCAGGACCAGGGTGGGGGTCGTACTCCGCTGCATGCCAGCTATTTGCGGCGAAAACATCTGCTTAAAATTTTGTAGGTTTCCAGTGCACGTCAAGATCTCACCGAAGAGATTTGTCTTGGTGAGTAGATTCCCTTTTCCTTTTTTTTTTCTCTCTCCTCTCTTAACCTTAACTTTGAAAAGCTTACCAAATAAGGTCTAAATCACTGAGCACTCAGGTTCCAATGCATGCAGAGGAATCCGTAATGACAACAATCTCAAGCTAAAAGAAATAATCCAGTAGGGAAATATTCCTCGTAGACTTTTGCTGGGAGCAGCCGGCTGGTATCATTTAAATTGCAGCCTCTCCCCTTCATTCTGGTACTGACTGCTAACTTCTGTAACATGGTTTTATTCACCGATGCAGGAGAGGTTTGCCACAGGCAACCCTGGCTGCTTAAAGCTGAGAAGGCGATGCAATATCAGGCACAGAAGATATATCATTCTCCTTTATCTTTTTTGACATTGTTTTGTGCAATAATAGATAACAGAGCAAATTCATATCTAACTACTTCACGGGGTTGTATCAGAATTTAAATGCATCCATTTTAACTGTGCCACTGCTGACGGCAGCAGTGCACCTTATTTTGTCTAAATCACTATTTAGGTTTGCATGCCCAAGACTGCTGTGCTGTTTCCACCCCAGAGACGCTGCAAATAATCACCAGAGCTCAGAATTATGCTCATGGGGAAACACATTATTTTGAAGACTAACCAAGACTCCTTGAGCTACTCTGTAAAATTCTAAAGCATGGAGACGGCTGTTTTGTTTAATAAAGCCTCAAATACTTAAAGTAGTAGAAAGCCATACTAGTTTGTTCACTGCCTGGGTCACATCTTGCCATCTGTATTTGGGTTATATAGATCATTCTCTGCTCTTGTTTCCCCCGTGTGCAGCAAGTTCCTCTCCACCTTCTCTCCTTTCCCCCCACTTACTCATTTCCTCCCTGCACAGGCACACACCACCATCATGCTCCACAGGGTAGCTTCCCTGGCTGAAAATCACTGTCCAGCCTTGGTTTGCACTGCCAAACCACCATCATGTTTGGCAAACCTTTTCTGGATTTTCCCACTGCCTTGATTACAGCCCAGCTGCCCTGTGAGCAACAAGAAAAATAATTGATCCTGCACGCCTGGAGCTCACTCCTATGGGCAAATCTTTTATTATATAAACCCTTTTTCAGATATATATTTATAGAAATAGATCCAACTTTTAACCGTACAATTAGTTGGGGAAGTCACCAGGAACAGGGCTGGGACAGAGGGGGCTAGCGCAGGAGTTTTCAGGAGGCAAGCACAAGGGGGGCTATTCAAAGCAGGTATTTTGTGGCAGTCAAAGCTATAGGGAGAATATATCAAGAGCTGCATCCTCCCAAGGACTTGTCTGAGAAGGGCATCTGGCAGAGGCAAGTCTATCTCAAGCCCTGCCAGCTGCCTCTGCCAGCAGCAACCAGCTGATCAGGAGTGCTGGTTGCAAGGAGCCCCATGGGGGTGCAGCTCCTAGGGATCGTGGTTGCTGGTGCCAGAATGATGTGCTGCAGCTCTGATGACAAGGAGACATGTATGGAAAAGCTCTAAGAGAGCATGGGTCTAGAGTCCCATCGTGTAGGTGCTTCACGTAATAAGGAAGCTCATGGGATATTAAGGTTTCAACACAGAGAAGCTAGGTTCAAATCTTGATAAATCCACGAGTGACTGCTTAAAAACAGTTTTATTATGGCATTTGGGGGAGAGAGACAGTCCACCCATTCTGCCATTTCTAGACCCTAAGGAAAGCACTCCCTCTCTTGGATGCCAGAGGCTGGTAAAGGTATGACCCAGCTGTGATGAGAGCACAGGGTTGTAAACTGAAGCTCTGACAAGCATCTGGGAGCCAAAAGGGACTTTCTTTAAAGACTCGTACTCCAGAGTTAATCCTGTAGCCCTTGACCATCATCTGTCTGCCATGAGATGCACCAGGTTGCATGAGCCAGAGGGTAAAGATACTCCCAAGGGCTGTGCTGAAGGCACAACAGGCTTGTGTCACTGGGAATCCTGTGGAGATTTTCTCTTCCCTTTTTCTTTGACTGAGCAACCTACAAAAGATTGTTCCTTATAAATATTTCAGAAGACATCGTTTCAGAGTGAATCAGTGAATGGATGGGTTATTTTTAGTTTTTTGGGGGGAGTGAAAGCACCATCTGCATGAATGAGATCTTGCACATCACAGATGTACCGTAGCTGAGGGAGATGTACTCCACACGCAAAGGGCAGGAGTACCTCTGTTCTGGCCCAAGCTCTCACACCAGCACACTTGAGAACCTCAAGCAAGTCACTCGGCATAGCTGGCACCAGTGCTGCCACGGGCTCCTCTGGGGATGTGGCCAGGACAAACCAGCATAGCTGACCAGACTAGCCCTGGCTGAAGCCTGACCTGCCACAACAAGGCTTTTGAGACATGAGCTAGCTTATTTAAGTCAAGCTGGTCTACCTTGTTTTCCCATGTCAAAATTAGTGCATTGATAACATCACACTGGGTGAGGAGGTGAACATTTGTGCTTCAGTAGCATATATAAATTACAGCTGTCACCTGGGTCGTCCTGTGCTCAGTCAGGAGAACAGGAGGACTCTTCCCCTCCCCAGGCAGTCTACCATCATCTGTTACCCCTTACAGCCCACTGAGCACATTCTCACAGAGCAGGAATTTGTCATGGACAAAATGCCTCCAAAACCCAGTTACAAAAGACATTTTAATTGAAGTGTCATTAGAAATGTAAGAATTCAAAAGAAGTCCTGTTGTATGACCTTTGCTGCCAGGTCCACTGCCTGTACTTGGGAGAGGGCAGATGTTGATTTGTTTCCAATTTGCTTTTTGGAGCTCATCATATGTTCTACATTGAGCAGCAATTTTCCTTTTAAGGTGGAACAGCATGAAGTTTGTTTTCTTTTAAAGAGCTTTCTTTAAAAGGTTATTTATAGATTCTCTCATGAATGTGACTGTGCTTCTCATCCCACATGCATTACTATGATGTGGCATGAAACGTTCTCGTGGAGCCTTCTGATTAACACCGACTCGAGAACCACATCAGATGAGCGCTCCATGTAATCTAGTATTCTCTCACCAAGGAGAGCCAACACCAGTTCGGATGCAGGTGCAAGAAACCCCGAGGGCAGCAGTGAGTTATTTACCTTCGGGGAAAACTGCTCAGATTCCTTCGGATAGAGGCTGGCTCATATCCTGAAACCCAAAGAGCACTATCGCTTCCAAAAGTCTTGTTCATCTGAAAACATGATGGGGGGGGGGGGCTTTTTTCTCTTCAGGTATCCACTATTACTGACCACAGCCTCAGGGTCCTCCTGTGGTAATGAGTTGCCCAAGATCAAGGTATTTTTTTTGACACTTTTTGTGCCTTCATGTCAACTGGTTCTGTTGTTTGGAGGTAAATAGAAGTACTTAAGCTGAGAAACATTGAGAGAAGAAATCACCTTCCCTGCCTTTTGTTCCTCCTTGCTCATTTCTTCTCTAAATGAAGCGGTCCCATCTTTTCAAGTTTTTTTTTCAAGTTTTTTCTTTTCAAGTCAATGAAATTTTTTCTTGCCACAGCTTATTAGTGTCACCCTCCTCCAAACACCTTTCACTTCTCTTCTGCCCCCTTGGAGATGGGTTACTAAGAGAGGCGTAAGAGAAGTTGATAACTGTTCTTTATCCATTCCTTAGGCATTCTAATGTTTTGTTTTCCTTTCTGTGCACTGAGCAGTCTTTATTCAGCTGTCCTAGCTAATACTGATTTGCGGTTTCAGTCTCATAAGGCCATTAAACTGACGCCTTTCACCAGCAGCAAATAAACTTAAGTGTAAGAAAAACAAAAAAGACCAGAAGAGCAAAATGGCTTAGCAGCCAAATCCAGCCCAGAGATCTGTTTTGCATTTCCCACTCCTCTGCATGTTCCTAATTATACATACTGCAGAACTGGGGGGCTCCCAGTTCCACAGTAATATGTAGCATATTGTTCTGCTGGATTTGGAGCACGTAACACGCATTTCCATCCCCTTCAGGAGCCGATACCAGAATGAGAGAGCTAAGTCCAACGTGGAATTTATAAAATACTTTGAATGCCTCCTTTCCAGTACAAGAGCTAAGCATAACACTACTGGGGATATCCCATTATTTGACTTACTATCAAACAGGACCTTGCCCAAACGAAAGACCTACGACAGATTAAAAGGTCTGGGATATCGCAGCTCACGCTTCTATTGCATCTGTGTTAAACTACTCCAAATTTCTTTTAGCATCAAAGCATGAAGAAATACCTGAAAAGTAATTTGCTTACTTTTTCATCTCTGCTTGCATTTTGTATTTAGAGTATTTAGTTGCAGGATTTAAGGATATGATAAGAAAGCCCAAGCAAGCAGATGACTCTTGCAAAATATTTAACCCTCTACAGCAATATGGGGGGAAAATATTTCACACTAGTCTTTTCCATGACTTAAGAGTGAGCACCTCTTACCCACGTGGACAGGAGTTGTATCAAAGTGATATACGGCTAATTCCTTAAAAACAAACAAACACTCTTAATTTCTTTGGCTTCAACTTCATCTCTTCTAATCAATGAACTACCAAGCTAACAAGGAAACATCCTCAAGTGGCATGGGGCAGTTTTATGCTTTGTATCCCATTTCTCCAAGGCCACTGCAGATATAGAAGCTGAAAGAAAAAAAATCCAGGCCAAGGGATTCTCCCCTTACCAGATCATTGCCATGGTCATACAACTGGACAATAGTCCAAGTCCATTAGTATCTTCCCTCAGCTTCTGGTTAGTACTCAGAACAAGAGAGTGTGGTTCTATTTAAAGAATAAGGTGTTTGGCTCCAGAGACCAGTGCCATCACCACTGGGGAGATTGTGATCGTAACAGTAAAGGGAAGAAGAAAATCTTCAGTTTAGGCATGAGCTTACACATGCGGAGGCCTTCAGTTCTGGGGATGGTTATGGCAGGGTTATAGATAGTCAAAAACTAACACTGTAGGGGAAATTCTTTTTACTATATCCCTTACCATGTGTAGAACCCAAATTCTTCTTTAAACTCTTCTAACATTCAGATAGTCAGGTGGGTTGTGCACAGAGAGGACTTCTTGTGAGGTAGCCGTGAATCAACCCAAGTTTGAGCATCTTCTCTAAGCTGCTGATGCATCTGAGCACTATTTCAAAATATTACAAAGAGGAGTTATTCAGCACTTGTATGTGCAATGTAACTATTCACAAACAGCCCCACGCGCAGACATCCAGAGGGAGATTTCACTGTAGCTGCTCTGTTTCATTAGCAGTTATGTGGGAATAGGCATAGACCAGAAATTATATCCTACCAGGGCACTAGGAAGGGAGGCAGAGTCTGGAATGCTCCAAGAAAACCATTGGTAAACACCGCTTGCCATCATTGGTTACACTTGAAGCAATGGCTTACTTTACCAAGGTGAAGACAAGATGAGCAGGGTTTTTACCAGTTGTCTGTATTTCCAGGGTGAGCATTGATAAGAAAACATGAAAGCTTAGCTACCACCACAGGACAGAAAGGCAGGTCAGCACAGCAAGAGGGCAGAAAACCGTCGGTGAAGGAGGCGCCAGGGGAGACAAGGCAGGCTGCAGGATTCGGAAGCGGGGAGAGAAGGGAGGGGAGGAAAGCACCCAAGGATGGTTGCGGTCTCCATGCAAGGAGATTGTGCAGCCTAGCTGCAGCACGAGAGAGACTTTGCAGGTGGTTCGGCTGTGGAGTGGGATGCAGCCGAGCCGCAACGGAGCCATGATAGGGAATGGGAAGGCCAGACAGATATCGTCACCTAGCAAAGAGCCTGAATTCATACTCAGGCAAAACACAGTATGGAGGAGTTGGCAGGGAACTTGGCACAAAGCCTCCCCAAGCCCGCTTCTTAATTTGAGCCCTGCGTTAGCCTGCTGATTTTGTACGTGGATTCTGCAAGAAACCCCAGTCTTTCGGTAGCTGCACAGGCACCAGAACCCTTTCTCCCCCCACAGTTGTTCTGCCTCAGATGTCCCCAGAGCTGCTTCACCCGGTGCCCTGCCCAGGGAGCTTCAGACTTCTCTCTCCTTGGCTTACATCAGGTTGTTTTTAAAGACGATGGCAGCACAGGCTGGGGCTCTGCTAGCCTGGAGCAGCTGTCCTCCTTGTTCCTCTGTCACCCATAATTGGTGCTCCGTTTTTACGGAGAAAGGGAGGTGAGGGAGAGGTCAGGACAAGGACGTCAGTGGTAAGGGTGGGAAGGCAGTCACAGGGGGAACGTGGGGCTGGAGAAGAGGAGAAGGGGCTGATAGACAATAGCCCTTTTTGTCTCTCCCTGCATCCTCATCTCTCATTGCCAGTAGGAAGACCCAACAGCCACAAACAGACTGACTTTGGGTAAGAGGAGTTGCCAGGTACATATCTGTGGGAAAGAGGGAAAAAACAAACAAGCAAGCAGGGATGGCCACAGATACTTGTTTAAGGAAGAGCAAGTTTGTAAAGGAAAAATATCGCTCAGACCTGGAAAACTCCATGAGCTAAATTCCTTGATTCATGTCAGCCAAAAGAGCTCCCCCACCCTGCTGAAGAAAAGAAAAAAAAGCCTAATTATTGCCATTTTCATGAAAGTCTGCAACATTCAGTCCACAGCAGAGGGGATACTGCTGCACACATGCATGTTGGCTACTGCAAACATCAATAAAGCTCCCCATTTCATTTTTACAGGCTGCACCATGATATCTGCTGTCCTTCTCCTCTGGACTGTGCCCTGTGTGGCAAACCACATCCTCAGTGGCTTTGTCAAGGGAGGGCTGCAGGAAGGCCCCCAGCAGCTGGCGTGCAGCGTGCCAGGGCCCCCTGGTCCCCCTGGCCCCCCCGGAGCCTCCGGCTCTCCGGGGACAGTCGGCAGAATGGGCTTCCCTGGGAAAGATGGCAAAGATGGCAAGGACGGGGACAAGGGAGAGCACGGTGACGAAGGTAAGGGGAAAGCGCTTCTTGGAAGGACACACAGGTAAAATATAAAAGCAATAGTGTGACAGTCCAGTTAACAGCAAGCCTATATACAAGCCATTATCCCAAATCTGAGTCCCAGGACAGACAAGTCTCCTGCTCTCCCCTTTCCAACATCCCCCACTCATCGGCTCCTGCCAATGGATTTCAGACTCACCCATTGCATCTGGGAACCTCCACTTAGCTCAGCCACAGCTGGCCAGAGCAGTGGATGATGAGACCTTTTATGTTTGCATAGAGTCAAATGCTAGAAGGTCTAATTAATTTAAAGTAGTAACTGAAAGGAAAATATTTCAAACACATTTCCAAATACTGTGCCAAAAACTGCTAAAAAATATTGTTTGCAGATGGAGTCTTAATAGAGTTTGTCCTCTTGATTTTGTTATTGTCCTTTTTCCCCTAGAGTGAGATTTTCCCTATTTTGGCATATACCCTTAGAAGAGAGAGCGTTGGTCTTTGATTCAAGACTCCCAGGGAAATAAAGTCAGAAGAAAAAAATTAAGTATTCAATATTACCAAACCAGCAATGGCATTTTGGTGGGCACTTGCGGCCCTGTTGCAGAACCTGAGAGCCTCTTGGCCAGGAGCTTCCTGGTCACCCTGAAGTGGCAGTGACCAACCCCATCCCTTCGCATACGAGCTGGAGGTGCCCCCGGCCAAGCAGACCCATTTGCAAGGACACATGCTACAGGAGCACGCCTGAGCTGCGGCCACTGTCCTGCTGGCATAAGGGAAGCAGCGACTTCCTAGAGTGCTCTAACAGGGTAACAAACATTTTACTGACCACGTTCAGCCTAAATCAAAAGATAAATCAACACTCCTGCCCCTCTTTTCTAATACTGAAGTGAGGCTCTCTCATTTAGATAAATGCTTATTCTAAGCACCAGAATAAATTACGGTTGAAAAAAAAAAAAGTGATTTCCCATTGCCACACTAGAGTGCACTCCTGATTCAGCATACTAGCGTGCAAATGCTGCATCTTCTATCTTCTTTTTTCGTCCTCCAAAAGGGAATCTGTAGAACAGGTTTCCACCTACAGCTGCATTTAAATCTGGTCTTGCTAAATCAGGCTGAAAAGCAGGATATAAGTCCTCATTAATGTCTTTTGTGTCAGACTACCACAACTGATGCTAATCAGTAGTTTCAGCATCACTGGGACAGCACCTAACTTGCTTCCCAGCTCAAGGCCATCTCTGCAATAAATGCATCGCAGTACGTGTCTGACACATCTCCCAGCTGGGAAGGGCCTTTTACCACACCTGGAATAACCCATTGTAAGAGAGGATAATAGATAATTATGTTAAATGTGAAAATTAGACAGGAGATTAAATCATATTTCCAGCCCTGGGTGGTATTTCCTAGGCTTCTTGCCAGAGATGTTTTCCTCCCATGTGAAATAAACTGCTATGATACAACTTTCCACTCACCGTATCATATATTTGTCTGAAAAAACTTACAGTGTCCTTTGCCTTCTAGGCCCACAAGGCAGAACAGGAAATCCAGGCAAGCCAGGACAGAAGGGGAAAGCAGGAGCTATTGGCAAGGCAGGCCCACGAGGTCCAAAGGGTTTAAAGGGTAATCCTGGAAAAAATGGAGCACCAGGAAAGAAAGGGCCCAAAGGGAACAAGGGCGAGACAGGGATGCCAGGACCCTGCACCTGCAACGCCAAAGCAGCCAAATCCGCCTTCTCTGTAGCTGTCTCAAAAAGTTACCCAAGGGAAAGGCTGCCCATCAAATTTGACAGGATCCTGATGAATGAGGGAGGACATTACAATGCTTCCAGTGGGAAATTTATATGCAGCATTCCAGGAATTTACTACTTCACTTATGATATCACTTTGGCAAACAAACATCTGGCCATTGGCTTGGTCCACAACGGGCAGTACCGGATCAAGACTTTTGATGCTAACACTGGTAACCATGACGTTGCCTCGGGATCAACTATTCTTTCTCTGAAGCAGGAGGATGAGGTATGGCTGCAGATCTTTTACTCAGAACAAAATGGGCTCTTTTATGATCCTTACTGGACAGACAGCTTATTTACTGGCTTCCTGATATACCCTGATCAAGATTATCTCAATGAAATATAGGGTGAGAGACTATCCTGAGGGGGAAAAGTCAGAAACACGTATGAGAGCTCATTGCAGCCTGTATGCAGACATGCCTGGGATTATCACATGGTTCCACATTCTTGGAGCTAACAGCCTGTATTGGCTATTTGGATATTTACTTGATGTCATCAAATATTCTACAGAGTGCTAGGATCAATAGGACCCACTTAAAGTAGCCTTATGAGTCTCTAAATCTCGAAACCACCCATTACGTTTTCTACGGCCATTCAAACATGACGGGGAAATGCAACTTCAACGCTGGTACAGAACGTTTTGATTATTTTATTATTACAAAGCCTTCAGATAAAAATTTGTTTCCTGAAAGCTGGTTTGGACAGCTTTCCGTTAACATCGCAGACAGCAGTGCCCCTCCCCCTCCAATAATAATAATCCTTATTAACACAAAGTTAAGCTTCATCAGCTACTTAGAGGTCAGGAGGTTGTCAGCTAACACTATAAAAGTAACCATAATTCTCAGCCTTATCAAAGCAGTACTAATAAACAGAAGTGTCCAGTCTAAATGGGGAATGACACAAAGCAGTGATTTCATCTTTAAGGCTAAAAGTAAAATCTGTAGGACACAAGCTGTTCCACCAAGCACCACTGGCATTCCTCAGATTTCATCCTCAATATACAACGATAGCTGGTCGATTGCCCTGGAGTCCTGCATTTGCTTTCAGACAGGCATCAGTAAAGCTGTGACCGGGGCATGGCCTGGACCGTGCAAGCCAAATACTTGTGGGACTTGGATCCAGATCGGAGTGTGAACCCGTCAGGTAAGACTCATTTGAGAATATGAGCCTTTATTCCAGAAGAAGATTTCTTAATACCCCCTTCCCTTCATCTCTGCCAGCTTTTGCTGGCAAAAGATACTTGTGGTGCTGATGAGGTACTCTTCAAAGGCTAAATACTACAAATAGACCCCATCTTACTGATGATAGGCTCTTTTACCCCTCCATATCAAATATTACAGATGCTCCAAAAGTCTGCAATATCCATACTGTATGGAAAACCAAAAATGGCAGAAGCTGAGGTATTGATGGTTTTCTGTTTTTTCGCCTGTATCAGCTAAGACAGGGGCATGCTGCAAAATGGTTCCTTATTACTGTATCAGAGAGAATTCTCCTGCTATAAAGCACCCAAATCTGGCTGCCTTGCTCCAGGATGCAGTAAACACACACTATAATACAGAGGTCTCTGTCTTGGTAGCTGGACAGGAGGAACTTCTCTTACGTGCTATCAGATGGGTCGTCCTGGTTTCCACAGTCAATTCCACAGCTGTTTCATCTCCATATGAAAACTCATATGAAGTTCCTCTAAGCCTCATATTTAGGCATTGAAGGGAGATTCTTTATGAATAAATAAAGATTTTTTAAATCTTACTTTTACAAGTCAAAACGTTTGCATTATTTTAGTGAACTACAGTAACTGTTTGTAACCTGCAAATCATTTCAAATACATTTTATAAAATAAAGCTGAACGTAAAATACTACTGGGATGATCTTGCTATTTATAAAGTAGTTTCCCAGAAGGTATTTCTAAACTGTCTTGCATTTTCCAAAGACACAGTTGCTGTTAATGGTGGATTTTGTAGGGCAAGTTGCAG